AGCAGAAAGAATAATTGTAACCATCTCCTACTGTTGGTAACTGTAGAAAGATCTTTTTCTACCTGACTTAGCTTTACCCTTGGAGTGGATGCTCCATCTACTTCCAGTAGGGTTTCTACTGCATAATCTGCTGCATCGTCCCAAGAAATTGTGGGAGGTACAACTTCCCTATTCCCCATTGGCAGACCATATACCCTATGAAAGTCAATTGGTGATATCTTCATGCGTGTCCCATCAGGTAGCTTGAAAGATTGGTTCATTGGATTGTATTTGTTCATTACGAACAGTGCAAAATGGTTGTTTATCTTTGTCTGCTTGATTGACATTAAGCCTGCTAGGCCTAATGTCTCAAGTTTCTCTTTCTGCTCATCTTTTATAGTCCTCGCAATTGCAGATATTCTTGTTGGGCTGCACCTTGTGCGAAAAGTTTTTCTTTGGTTTACCATAGTGTACCTGAATGTAGAAATTAGGAATAGTCTGTTAGCGTGCTTTTTACCATGATATACCATATGGTACCATAATGATTTCCTACCATACCAAATCAAACCATATATTTATCTCATTTTACCATATGGTAATTACATCAAACCATGTCTTATAAGATATTACCATATGGTAACGAAGTAAAACACAACAGGATGTATGTTTTCATCCATTTTTACAGCATGAAACCATAGTTTACCACTCATTACCATATGGTAAAGAAGCAAAACACAGCAGGACTTATGGTTTTTTGCTATTTTACAACATGAAACCATAGTTTACCACTCATTACCATATGGTAACGAAGCAAAACACAGCAGGACTTATGGTTTTTTGCTATTTTACAACATGAAACCATAGTTTACCACACATTACCATATGGTAAAGAAGCAAAACACAGCAGGACTTATGGTTTTTTGCTATTTTACAACATGAAACCATAGTTTACCACTCATTACCATATGGTAACGAAGCAAAACACAGCAGGACTTATGGTTTTTTGCTATTTTACAACATGAAACCATAGTTTACCACTCATTACCATATGGTAAAGAAGCAAAACACAGCAGGACTTATGGTTTTTTGCTATTTTACAACATGAAACCATAGTTTACCACTCATTACCATATGGTAAAGAAGCAAAACACAGCAGGACTTATGGTTTTTTGCTATTTTACAACATGAAACCATAGTTTACCACTCATTACCATATGGTAAAGAAGCAAAACACAGCAGGACTTATGGTTTTTTGCTATTTTACAACATGAAACCATAGGTTACCACACATTACCATATGGTAAAGAAGCAAAACACAGCAGGACTTATGGTTTTTTGCTATTTTACAACATGAAACCATAGGTTACCACACATTACCATATGGTAACAAACTAAAACACAGCAGGACTTATGGTTTTTTGCTATTTTACAACATGCAATCATAACTTACCACTCATTACCATATGGTAATGAAGCAAAACACAACAGATTCTACATCAGTTCAGCAACGCATGGAGAGTGACTGCGATACTGTTCTATTGTTGGATTTCGAAGAAAGAAGTGAGGTTTTACCTTGATATTTTGTGCGAAAACGATTTTTGAGCCTCGTTGAAGTTGGAAACTCTTCGTTTTTCGACGAAGAAGCGAGAACAGTGTATCGTTGAATGATTCTTCGAAATCCTTTGCGAAAATCGTTCGATTTGAAGTTTTTTCTGGAAGTTTTTGCTGCGATTTTGGTGAGAGAATTGAGAATCGAGAGGAAGAATGGAGAGTTTGAGAGCAGAGAGGGAAGTGGAACTGTCGCTTGAAAGGTGAGAGGAAGAAGGAGAGAAGGCGGGACGGTTGTCGCTGTCACGTCTGCAATTCAAATTGTCAGAGACGAGATTACGTTTTTGCCCCCGCGTGTATTTTAAGTGGTCTGATCTGACGGCTGGGAAGATGGCGCGATGGACGGCCGGATCATCGGTTACTGACCGTTACTGACAGGTCGGTTACTGATAGGATCCGGACCCCTTTTTCAATGAAGACTCCTTGGATTGAAAATTAAATTCAAACAAAATTAGTAATTAGGTTCCTATCAAATACCTCAATCCAATCATGTGATTATATCTTGGGGATACAAACTTTCAAGTAATGTCACCAAAAAATAAAATACGATTGACAAGACATGAAATCAAAGAAGATTTATTTCATGTTAGGGTTACTATACTATGTATAATAGTAATACTACACATTTCCAATTTACTTTCGTTGATGGCAAAGCAATAAAAAAATGTTCAAAAGAAATTTTGTTGTAATTTCTAACAACAATGAGTAAATAAAACTATTGTTTTCTAAAGTTCCATAAGAGTTTATTTCATTGCATGAGTTTTTTTTACTTTTCGTAAGGACTTTCATAAATTTATCTATTAGAATGTTGGAGACCTCTGCATGTAGTCCATTTTTTATTTTTTGATTATTAAATAATTTGGATTATACTTTGTAATACCAAAAATATTATACCTTACTTCACACCATTGCTTTTGTTGATTATGTTTTTGACCAAATATATCTGGCCAACGGTCGGGCCTAAATCTAGTATTAATCCCGAAAAAAGAGATATCCATGGGGATAACCAGAAAAATAAAGGAGAAAGCCTAGACAGTAAGCTAGGCTCTAAGAGACAAATAAAGTAAAGGAAGTATTTGCTAGCGCCCCAGCGATACCCACATTGCTCCAAGACGAGCACAACTAAGTATCAAGTAGGGACAATGAAATAGTTAATATATATAAAGCTTAAGTTGGGTTACTGTTGCCTAATTATTTACATTTTGATACCCCAAATATAATTAAATCACAACTTGGTCATTATAATGTATATTTTATATTTTGATACCCAAAATTTATTTTAATGTAAAATCATTGAAAAATTATGTTTTGATATATAAAATTGATGGGAATTTCGTACCTACTTTGTACTTTTATATATTGGTTCAATGTTTAGATTTCACTTGAATTCATGAATCCAATCCAACAATCCTTTTGAACAAAATCCATGAATCCAGTTTGTGCAAACGTTTCTCCTTCATAATAACGATCATGGCTCTGGCTCTAGCTAGCTATTACTCTCATAATCATATTTTTTTTTATGGGACATAATCATAATTTGACAATGGACCCAATTGCTCCTTAGCTTTTTTCCTACTCACAAGTCACAACCTTGTGTATGCATACCGCAACCTTTAGTGTCCAATCTCGATCGGTTGGTCCCCACATTTTTCTTCGTCCCCTGATTGTTGGCTACTGCCTACTTCTCGTTCCAATCGATGAAGAGTGACTGAATATACCATGGCATGGGATCGTCAACATTGGGGACAACAACTAGGCTGATTTGTTGAGGATTGAAAACCGTTTCAATTTCGGGGCCAAGATCGTTTAAAGTTGGAATCCGATAAAGTGTTATGTAAAATCTTTCAATTGTATCCAGATCAAGTTTGTTTGGGTTTCGGGCCTTGCTGGGTACTATCAAGTGTGCATCCATCACCGCCCTAGGAAAATGTGTCCATCTAAAGACTTGTCCACGATTCCTCAAGCACCAGAAAATTTTTGCTTTTGGTGCTCGAGAAATATGGAAAAGACTGGAATTTTTTTTGCTTCCAGGTGGGAAAGAAGGGCTTGTTTCGCGGTCCCTCTCTCTCTTCTTAAAGAACCGAAGATAGGAGTGGCGGGAAAGAGGCGGCGATGGTTCCCTTGCGTGCCCAGGTGGCATGGGGCCTCACTTAGAGGTCGTTTGCTTCATGGATTTAAAAATGGGGTGTTGTAATTAAAAATCCCAAGGGTTAATTAAGGATTTGAGGCATAATGGATTTTTAACAATCATTTGGGTCGAGATGTTTTATCATGGATTTAAGATTTTAAAATTTAGAACTTAAAGTCCAAAATTACCTTACTATCATTTTCTATATGTTTGCTATGTTTATGAGCTGTACACAAAACGAGACAATACGCACTAATTAAGAATAATGTTGCCACAAGGACAATAATAATAAATGGAAAATTTCTATTTAACTTTTAATGTAACATAATCAGTTACACATTCTTTGTCCTTGTTTTCAAAAATAACATATAACAACATATATTAGAATCGATAGAATAAAGAATTACACGTTCCATGAAAATGTCAAAGGAAATTAGAACACAAGAAATGGCATAAAAATCTAACTAATGTTTGCACATTAATTGAATATTTATATTATTCCTTTGTTGTTAAGTAATTGATCAATTATTATGTACGTAAGTAATGTGTGGAAAACCTTAGAATATTAAAAGTTTATGAGTGTATATGGGTAAAATTTTGTCATGAATTTATACCATGTACCAAATCGCACAACAACATGTAGGATTTACAAATCCGTAGAGTCCATGAATTTGGACACTTAGGGTTTGTTTGCTTGAGGGATTTGGTGATGGATTTTGATTCATGATGGACTTTATTCAAAATCAATTGTTTGCTTCAAGTATTTGGAGGTAACAAATCCGTGGGACCCATGAACTTTAAGGGTCACGGATCATGGGTCCAAATCCGTGGGCCCCGCGGATTTGAAAATTCCACATCTTTAGGTGGGAATTGATCATGGAGTTTGAAGTCTATGTTTTACCAACCTACCCTTCATATTTTCTCTCTCTCTTCTTATATCATTGAGGACAATAAAGGTAAATTTTACTTCATACATATAAATCTAATTAACAAAGTCTATCATGAAATCCATGAAACAAACAATGGTGTTTATCAAATTCATAATGAACAAAAAACCCTCATATATTCATGGTTTCCCAAAATCCAAATTATATCAAAACTTTCATTTTTCATATCGACGAAGCAAATAATCCTTAAAATTCGTGGACCCAATTTATGGTACCTAAAAATGTGCAAACAATGAAACAAACAATGAATTTTAATTAATTGAATTTGATATCCAAATCCATTCTTGGGGCTGGCCGGGTTTGTTTTAACCAGCGAAGAAAGTGTCGAGGAAGGGGAAATGAAGTCAGCGATATCAACAGCCTTCAACTCGAGCAAGCTTCTTCATCGCTACCCCTTCTCTTTCTCTCGCCTCTCCTTCTGCCACCGGGCATCCGCCGTCGTTCACTTACCGGAGTTTCTCCAGCAATCCGATAAAATTCACCGCGGTAGTCGTCTGAATTTGAGGAGAATTCACACGTCTTTCACTCCAGTCATGGCTGCTTCCTCTTTCAAGCCGGAGCAAGCTAGGGCACCGCCGGCGCTTCCTTTGCCCACTCCTCCTGTCACCAAGGCACCCAATTCGTCAATCTTTTTCTGCACTCCTACCGGTGTTCTTTTTATCTTCCTTTCGCTTGATTTTCGTTCCTACTTCGTGCAGTTTAACATAGGGCTGTGCCAGTTGGCAGTGACAGCAGATAAGCAGCAGAACATCCAACATGCTCGTAAAGCAATTGAAGAAGCTGCCGCAAAGGGGGCTAAGCTCGTCGTCTTGCCTGTGAGTATTTATTTCATTCCCACAAAACTGGGATTTTTTTTTTTTTAATGGCGAGAAATGAGCCAGAAGCATAAACATGCTAACAGTGATGTGCTTTCCGGATAGGAAATATGGAATAGTCCGTACTCAAATGCTAGTTTCCCAGTATATGCTGAGGACATCGATGCCGGTGGCCAGGCATCTCCTTCAACGGCAATGCTCTCTGATGTTGCTCGGAGGCTGAATATTACAATAGTTGGGGGCTCCATACCTGAACGTTCCGGCGATCGGCTTTACAATGCTTGCTGTGTCTTTGATGCTCAAGGAAAGCTATTGGCCAAACACAGGAAGGTACAAGCCCAAAATTGGCTTCTCTTTTTGGGTGCTGGTAATTCTTTTTAGCCGAGTACTTGTTTTATCCTTTTGTTTTGTAATTTCAGATTCATCTTTTTGATATTGACATTCCTGGGAAGATAACGTTCATTGAATCCGAGACTTTAACAGCTGGGGACACTCCAACAATTGTGGATACAGGTTTTCTTTTAACTAATCTTAGTTCTCTGTTGAAGTCCAACGGCAGTCAGTGGTTATCAACATCTGACCTGATAATTGACATGCATATTATCACAAAAGAGGAAGATATCTAGTAACTCATCCGGATTTTGGAAATCCTGTTTACTTATACATGCACATGCTTGATTATGATAACTACTACTGTCAGATAAAGGTTTTGGTTAAAAGGGTAAAATCTTATGCATCCTGAATGGATAAAGGGTCTGATGGTTAGGCTAGCAGGTGAGACGTTTTTCTCTTTAATTTCTTACATCATCATTAGAAAGATTGTACCAAGGAAATGACAGTCTCCTATATGATGTTTCTGGTTTCCCTATTAGATTTCTCTAAAGATTGTAGAACTTCTGTAGGGAAGTGTTATTTGGTGTTTAGGGGTTTCCTACTGTGCTGGGAAAACTTAGATAAAGTTAGAAAAGCGGAACGAACTAATCAAATTGAAGTCGTTAAGATGCATCTTCTTTTTTCTTCAGTTGTGGTATGCATTTCTTGTTCATTCTCTTCATTCAAATTGATCTATTTTCAGTAGTTGGAAAATTTTGCTAATTCTGATAGTGGCTACAACCAATTTCTTGCAGAAGTTGGGCGTATTGGTATTGGCATTTGTTATGACATCCGGTTCCAGGAACTGGCAATGATATATGCTGCAAGAGGTTTGTTCATCCTTCTTTTAAATGTTCATATGCCAGATGGTTTTCATGTCGATGAGTATCAAATATCAATATATGTGACACCATCAGGTCCTTGATTCCAGGTGCACACTTGATTTGCTACCCGGGGGCATTTAACATGACCACAGGACCTCTACACTGGGAGTTACTGCAGAGAGGAAGGTTTGATGCATCTCCTTGTCTGTAGTACTTTTTGCTTGCTACTATTTTTTCCATGGAAGCTATATGAGATTATTATGGTGCTATGTTTAATACATGAATGTTTTGAAAGTTTGAAATTACTTGCGTCTCTTCGAATCACTCAATAATAGTCAGCTTCCTTGTCAATTCCTTGGAACTACCTCCTCTGCTGCACATGACTGACTTCTCTGTTCACTTCTTTGATCTGCCAGGAGGTTTAAAGTAGTTGATTCTGTTGAAAATGGTATTGCAAGATAATCTTGCATTTTTATTCATTATGAACTAATATTAAATCTCTTCCATGAACAGTAACCAATCCCGATCCATATTGTCCTATAGTGAACTAATTTCAAAGCTTCCCCCGAGTGATCTATATGATTTGTGCCGAGACAACTGACATGAGAGTGTGATCCCCTCATGTGATGGAATAATTACTGGTTACAAATTACGCAAGGGTCTTTTATTGGAAGAAAATTGCATTCATGACACATTCTTATAACTTATAAGTATGGCTGAGTTGCGTCAAGTCAATAGGATAAGCCCTAAATGTGAAGCAGCAGGCCAGGAATCAGACTAACCATTTAAAGTTTGTGTTTTATTTATCTCAATATTTACTTCTAACTGACTCTACACATTGTTTGGTGAATTCGTATTTGTTTGAAGCTTATGCCAACTACCAAATCAATTGATGTTATCTGATTGTTCATGTGCAGGGCTGCAGATAACCAGGTAATGGATGTTTTTCTAGTACAGCTCCAGGTTTCATGCTAGATGGGATTCACAACAATTAATTACCGCGTGCTTAGAATTTGAACAGAGTTAATGTCATGCTGAACGCCTATTTTGAGATATGCAACCCCATCAGGTTATGTTTGTTTCTATAGATATCAAATCTGGGTGCAGCCAAAAGCATATATCATCTGGAAAAATATTGGGATACTCGCAATTGGCATAAACACTTCCTACATTTCTTAAATAGCTTTTATCTATTTCATGTTTTTTTTTTGTATAACCTAAAATCAATTTCATCCATATGGCATGTAGTTCGAATCTTTTTTACTTGATTTGATTTTTGAAAGGTGTATGATGATGTCAAAGTTTGTAAGCGCTGAGTTCTGTGTCGTGATGTACCGAATAGGGTGTATCGCCAGTAAAACCTTTCAGATAAGTTGATATGGGGACCAATTAGACCTTAGACCTGCAAGTTTCTTTTAACATACAACGGACTTTCAAATCGTGTATTCCAGTTATATGTAGCAACTTGTTCACCTGCAAGAGATGAGGGAGCTGGTTATGTTGCTTGGGGGCACTCGACTCTAGTTGGACCTGTAAGTGATGGATGTTTTATCTTATCTTTTTCTGTTAGCTTTGGTGAATCCTTGTTTGTTGCATTAACTGGTTTGTTACTACATTTCTGAAAATGCACAGTTCGGAGAAGTTTTGGCTACTACAGAGCATGAGGAAGCCATAATCATAGCAGAGATTGATTACTCACTAATTGAGCAAAGGCGGTAATTTCCAGTTCAATGCGAAACCATCCCTTTCGACGTCAGTTATTGTTTTCTTCTTTCCAGTCTTTTTTTGTGTTGATATATCTGTATTTGAATCAGGACATTCCTCCCCTTGACAAAGCAGCGGCGAGGTGATCTTTATCAGTTGGTGGATGTCGAAAGACTAAACTCCAAGTCTTGACCACTGTTGGAGGATGGTTTTAGTTGTATGACAGGTCACGCTGATAAGGAAATGTGGACATGATAAAATCTCAATAAACTATCATCCTTGTTAAGGATTGGAATTGTGGAATAAGATTTAGAGAACTGAAAGTATGCATCGAATGCCAATTTCTACCTTTCTCCTTGTGTCCCATATGTACGAGGAAGAGTAAATTGATCGAACTAGTTGGGACTTCCCTTTGTTTTTATTTTCCTTATTTTTTGCTAATGGCAATCGGGTCTTCAAACTTGAAGCACAAGTTGGTCAAATGATTGTCTGGAATGTAGTAGGAGATATCACTTGAGTGATTAGTTCTTTCTTTGAGAATGGAGATCTTTCAAGGGAAATTAATTCAACTGTATTAGCTTTTTTACCTAATGCACCTTCTGGTGACCACATGAAGCTATTTCGTCCTATTTTTTGTTGCAATTTTCTCTATAAATGAATTGTTGAAATCCTAGCACATAATTAGTCAAATGTATTGCCTAGCTTTTATAAGTAAAAGTCATTCTGCATTGGTCAACGGCAGAAGCATGAGTAACAACATCTCAATGGTAGCAGAACTAGTAAATGGGAATAACTAGGCATGCACTTAAAATTCACCTGATCAAAGTCTTTGATTTATATTAGACTGGTTATGGTAACTAGATATGCCCGCTCGTTGCGTTTCGTGTAAAGCGAGTAATGTGAAAGGTTACATGTGATTGTAAGAGAGAATAAACTAATATGTAAACAACACAAATCCGAAAAAATGCATGTCTAGCTCTCATTTGATTAGTAGGAATATCTAAGCAGCTAAATAAGAATCGAGGAAACAAATTTTGCAATATAGCGAAACAAACAATAAAGAATGGAGTCTTTGGCCAATAAATAGGTACCGATTGGGGAACAACAAATACATTTTGAAAATTATTAATGTGGTTCTCTTGTTCTTCAATGAATACTACTAGAGCGACTCCCTTGTCCCACCTTGTTAGTGTCCTCGTATCTAGCAAATCCCTAAAGAGACAAATAATGGTGTCAAACCAAATACGAACTTCTAGTTTGAATCAATTAATTCGTGTGGTTCTCTTGTTCTTATTGATAAGGATTCAAAAATGAAAAATGGATCGTTGAAAGACACGTGATTGGAATACCCGTGATTAGCCGACCGCTAGTTGAATAGCCGGAAAACTCACAAAGAGTACTCAATCTATAAGAATTCAAAAATGGAAAATGCTTCATCGATATACACGTGATGCGAATACTCTTGATCGGTCTACTTTTAGTTGAATAGTCGAAAAAGATAAATTGCAAGTTTGGTCACTAGATTTACTTAATAAATTCATGTTTGCCACTAAAATTAGTTTATTCCATTCGTGGTCAGGCCGAGTTGTGGACGAACCAGTAGAAGGAAAGTATATTCCCACTTCCTTCGTACCCTGCAAATAACGAAGTATACGATATACTGCAGCTAAATGATCAACTCGAGGATCCCCCATAAATTGAATGACCACTTGTACGGCATATGAAATATTAGGCCGAGTTGCTGATAAGTAGATTAAGCTTCCAACTATACTCCGATACTGTGATCCATTCCTAACCTTCTCGCCTGAATCCCTGCTCAATCTCAAATTACACTCCATGGGAGTATTAACAGGCTTGCAATCTTCCATATTATGGTCACTCAATAGATCACCAATATATTTCTTTTGGTTGAGCAGAATACCTTCCTTAGTTCGAGAGACTTCTAGCCCGAGGAAATAGGATAGATCTCCTAAATCCTTGATCTTGTAGGCCTTCTGTAACCCTTCTTTCAAGTGTCGGATACCCTCCATGTCAGACCCTGTAATGATCATGTCATCCACGTACAAAAGAAGCAGAACAATACCCGTTTGTATAACCTTGATAAACAACGACGGGTCATTCAGACTTTGGCTGCACCCCAGTTCTCTAAGAGTAGACTGAAAAGTCTCAAACCAGACACGAGGTGCCTGTTTTAAACCATACAAGGATCGGTTCAGTCTGCATACCTGCCCAGGAGCCCCGACATTATACCCAGGAGGTTTTTCCATGTAAATAACCTCTTCCACGTAGTACGTATGTAGTAATGGCCCAATTAAGACTTAATTGTCATTAAGCCCATGCAACCTTGTTTTAGCCCACGTAGTGGTGTTAATTGTGGTGAGCTAGGGTTCAGCAGATGTAGGGTATTTGTAGTGCAGCTTGTGTTCCTGTATCGTTAACAATTCTCATCAGTAAGATTAGCAGCCGAAGAGTGTTCTCACTCTTCCGTGGATTAGTCCTGGAATTCTAGGGATACCACGTAAATCGTGTTTGTTCTCCATTTCTATTTCCGAACTGTTAGATAGATCAACATGGTATCAGAGCCTTCAGAGTCCGATCGTCCGTCTGTTCGTCTGAATTCAACCAACTACGCACTCTGGGAATTTCAGTTTTGTGTATTTGTGGAAGGTAAAGGATTGCTTAGCATTCTTGATGGAACACAAGCTAAACCCGACAATGGAGCTCAAGCTATTGCAACCTGGATGCAGAATGACGCACGCGTGCGTTTTTGGCTGCTCGGATCGGTGGATCCGTCCACCTGTCTTAGCCTCCGGTTATATCCTACAGCAAATCGTATGTGGCGACATCTCAAGGTCATGTACTCGACTGTCAATGCTGCACGCCAGCTCGAGATCCAGCTTGCTTTGTCGCGGCTGGAACAGGGAGATCGATCAGTATCTGAATATTTCAATACTGCACAGGAACTCTGGACGGAGCAAGATCTCATCCATGCCGCACTGCGTCCGCAAACCGTCCTATCTGAAGAAGCTATTGCCGAGCCAATGCAAACTCGGCTTCTTGATTTTTGGATGAAGCTTCGGCCCGAATTTGAAGCAGTTCGGGCAACCCTCCTGAACCGTGATATTCTGCAATTTGACGGAGTACTGGGGACGCTTGTTCGGGAGGAAACCCGCTTGAGGACACAGGCGTTGATCGATCTCCGCCCAGGTGAAGGAGAAACTCTTGTAGCTTCTGTCGCGGGACAACATATTCAAGGGTCAGGTCAGGGAGCTTCTTCATATGCTGTTGCTCGTGCCCAATTCCAACGGAGGATTCCCATTTCAGATTTAGTTTGCCACCACTGCCGAGAGAAGGGGCATTTGCAGAAGCACTGCCGCCGACGCAATTTTTGCGTATACTGCAAACGTATGGGGCATGTGATCCTCGACTGTCGTACGAAGGAACGAAACGAGGCCCGTGAAGGAGGCTCACGCGAGGGGATTGCATATCCTGGCCGAGCTGCTGCGCATCGCTCAGGGAATAATGAGCATACTGCATATGGGGCATATCCAGCGGTGGATGCTCCTCGTTGGCGTCCCGCTGAAGAAGAGTCACGCTGGCGCACAAGGGGTTTTGGAGCATCTTCGTCAAGTGATGCAAGAAGTAGCCGCAACATAGCTAGAGAAAGCAGCACAGCTGCTGGAAATAATGGTGGTGTGACAGTGCAGACCGTTGAGCAGATTGTTAGTGCGGCCATAAGTGCTGCCTTTGCTACGATGCATGGTACAGGTAAATTTCGAGCACCTTGGCTTCTCGATTCGGCTTGCTATAATCATATGACCAGTCATTCGGGTGTTCTAAAAGATATATCTCCTGTCCAAAATATCGACTTAACTGTGGCAAATGGATCAAAACTAGAAGTTAAGGGCATGGGTGATGTGGTGAACAAAAGTATATCTCTGCGTGATACTCTACATGTTCCTGCTCTTATTCCTAATCTCGTTTCAGTTGGTCAACTTACTGAGCAAGGATGTACTGTATCGTTTGCTCTGTCTGGTTGTTTTATACAGGATTCGAAGACGGGGAGTCTGATCGGAAGGGGGGAGTAAGCAGGGCCGTCTCTTTCATCTAGAAGAATTACATGGGCATTCCGTCACTCCTGTTCTTTCGAGTTCTTTGGTTAGGCCTGTCAGTAGTCTCGTGTCTTGTTTAGCAGTTTCGAGTCAGTTCAATAACCAGTGGGATCTGTGGCATGCTCGATTGGGGCATCCCCACTCAGCTCGTCTCCGTGTCATGTTTCAAAAGTCTTTACTTGGTAAAACTCGTGTTAGTGTTCCCGAAAATCATTTCTGTACCAGCTGTGTTGAAGCTAAGACTGCCAGTATTTCGTATCCTCCTAGCACTACTATTATTCCTGAACCCTTTGATGTGATACACACAGATCTTTGGGGACCTGCCCCTGTTGTTTCTCGTCATGGTTTCCGTTATTTTGCTCTTTTTGTTGACCATGCCACTCGGTATACGTGGATTTATCTTCTTCAATTAAAATCTGATCTTCGTTCTGTGGCACTCGAATTTCTAAATATGGTCCAAACACAATTCGGCAAACCAGTCAAAATTATACGCTCGGATCCCGGAGGGGAGTTTAGCTCTTTTCCCTTGCGTGAGGTGTATCGATCCCGTGGTATTTTGAGTCAAAAATCTTGTCCTGGGGTTGCTCAACAAAATGGCCTCGTCGAACGTAAAAACCGTCATGTTGTCGAGCTTACCAGAGCCTTATTGCTAGCTTCCTCAGTCCCTGGTCGTTTTTGGCCCGAGGCGGTGGTCACTGCTGTAAGGTTAATCAATTATCAACTCACTCCGATCCTTGGTAATGAGAGTTCTTTTTTTAAACTCTATTCTCGTTCCCCGGACTACTCTCGTCTCCGTGTGTTCGCGTGCCTGTGCTTTGTTTTAATGCCACGTCGTGAGCGTACTAAGTTAACCTCCAAAACTGCTCAGTGTGCTTTCATGGGGTACAGTGATGTGCATAAAGGGTACCTGTGTTATGATCCTGTTTCTCAGCGTGTTCGTATTGCTAGTACTGTCGTGTTCTTCGAACATGTTCGGTTCTTTGAACCTTCCTCTCAATCCGAGTCTGTCTTTCCTTCCAATAATTCGTTGCCCATGTTTTCATTTGATGATGAGTCCTCTGCCGAAGTGGATGACATGCTGCCCCCTGATGATCTTGACTCCCCCAGCAGCTCCTCGGCATCTAGTTCTAGCATGTCATCACCTGCAGGAAGCATAAGCTCAACTCCCTTGGCCATTTCCTCTCCTGCTGCTCCACTTGTCACCACGGCTGATCCCCCACTTTGGCGCTCCACACGCATCAACAAGGGTATTCCTCCTGCTCATTATGGTGATTATATGGCATTTGGTGTTACTTCTCTTGTTGTTCCTACTCGATACAAGGATGCAAAGGGAGATCCAGTTTGGGAGGAGGCGATGGGGAGTGAATTTGATGCTCATCATGCGAACAACACTTGGACCGTTGTTGATCGCCCTCCGAATATACCGACGATTGGGAGCCGCTGGGTTTATGCAATTAAAATGCTTCCTGATGGATCAATCGAGCGTCATAAGGCTCGTGTTG